CAATCTTGCAAAGAGTTTTATGAGCTTAGATTCGGTGTTACCAACCTAAGTGCCCTCACATCATGCAATACCTAGGGGGCACTGACAAACAACCACTTTATTAAAAAATTGAGAAGTGTTTCTATATTTATGGAATGTGCACGTTAAACATGCTTGAAATTGTGCCTAGTTTGAGGGCAGATTCAATTCAAGTGTAGTGACTGGAGATATGATTATAATTTGTAAATTTGCGCTTGTTTCACTAATTCATTAAAAGCACCATTATGTAGAATGTGTGATATCTACAGTTTATGGTTTGATCTATCATGACCAGGTACAAAATTAGCGATAAATGTGTTTTTCTTTTTCACTCTGCACGGTTGTCACTGGCCGTTTAATTACTATAGTAACATATTCGCAAAGTTATTTTTGTGTGATATTCTGCATTGAGTTACTTTTGGTACGCAGCACTGCGGTAAACTGGTGATGCAAATTGTCAATCCTCTAGTGTGTTGTGGTGAATATCTTAATATTTGGCACTTTATGTCAAGCCTTGTGCACGTATCTTTTTTATTTGAAAATTCAATTAATTATTATATATATAAATCAAGCGTTACATTTCAGCCATGCAAAATTACAATGACATATTTTGATATACTAATTGATAAATGGAACTGCAATATAAGTTGCTTAATGTTTGGCCGGATGACAACTAACTAAAAGAGAAAAATAAACTTGATTACATAATAATTAATTCGGCTGAACCAACACATGGACGTGTTCAAACCTGGTTGGTGGTTTTGTTTCATTTTTCCCACTCATTACTTCTGGGCCCCCAGATTGAAATCTGTAACATTTTAAGAAAAACTGAAACTACTGACAAAAACTAGACCCTTTGACTGAGGGCACCCTTGAATCAGAATTTTTGTAACATATTCAGGTCCTGAGATATAGCAGTTTAGTTGGGGGCCCTGGATATTGAATTTTGTAACACATTTCTATGTTACACTTTTTCAATGGGTTTTTAGAGAAGCTTCTTGATAGTTTTTCAAGTTCAGACCAGTTTTTCTAGGTCACAAAGGGTTCCATCAACCATATTCTTGACCAAATTTTGTACTTGGGCCCAAAACATTGAATTCTGTAACATATTTATGTTTTCACTGCCAAGGTCATATCTGGAATATTCAATGTATTTTTGTATTGGTAACATGGTTTTTAGATTCTCATACAAAATTCTGAAGCAATCCTTATTCATATAATTTGATAAAATGGCTGCGGAACTTGAATTATGTAACATTAGAAAGTAAGTGTATAGAGTATGTACCCTAGTGTGAGGGGTGTTAGGTAAGCTATATTATAGTTTTTGAAGTTCAGACCAGTTTTTCCAGGTCACAAAGGATTCCATCAACCATATTCTTGACCAAATTTTGTACTTGGGCCCAAAACATTGAATTTTGTAAGTCCATAGATGGACATGGAACTCTGCCATTTCAGTGGATAAACTCGTGACCTGGCATTTTATTGTTACAAATTTCAATATATAGGGCCCAATTCCTATTTTCTATAAAATTTGATATATAAATTAAAAGTTTTTAAATATCCAACCTTTAATCTAATTAGCTATATTCATTTGATTAAATTTACCGCGTTCTGTCGCGGATTGTCAATTTAAATTACATTACATTTAAATTGTTACAAAATTCAATAATTTGGTCCCAATTATCATTTTTTTAATTTGTTAAGTTGTTTCATGTCTTTATTTTAATGCATCAACCAACTTAAAACCAATACTAGATCAAACAACACTGTATAACATACTCTTTTGTAACCATGTTACGTTATTCAAAGAAATGGGCCTTTTATTGATTATGAACCATATACCAAGATTGTAGTAATGCCTTTATACAAGAATTGCTGCACTAATAACCTGGTTTGAGGGTTAAATACATATCCTACACTAGCTGTGGTTGTAACAAACTATAAAGATAGATTCATGAAAACAAGATGTTACAAAATGTCCATTTTGGGCCTTTTTATGTAATCAAAAGTGGGCCTTTTTTCATTCCACAGCTAAGCAAATACCTAAAGTACATTTTTGTGAAGCAAGAATTGTTAAAATTTAATAATTGGCTGAGCCATTGAAAAGTGTAACCAAATGTTACATTTTTCAACATAACTGGGCCATTTTACAATATTATTCATAGCCGATGACCTGAGACTATTTGTTATCACAATTATAGTCATCTCTGAAAGTTTCAAGACCATCGAGTAATTATTAATGGAGTTATTGTAAAAATGAGAAAATCGCCCATTTTGGCAGTGAAACAAAACCACCAACCAGGTTTGAACATGTCCACATAGCAAGAGCCACATTAACGTTGGGGCCGTCTACCAAATTTGAATGACATACAATAACAAAAAATCAAACATATCATAAATAATTATATATGGATTTTGTTCATTACAATTCTGTCACAACTGATAGAAGAAAAAAGAAAGGACAAGCGGATAGGAAATTGGACGGCAGAATTGTAACCAACAAAAACACATTTGAGCTAGTCTGGCCAGACTGTATCGGCAGCCCAGAGGTACTTGATCAGATTGGCCTTAAAAGTAGAAATCCGCTCTGACTGCCGGATACATACTGGTAGACTATTCCATTTCAGCATAGATCTATAAAAGAAGCTATTTCGGAAGGCATCCGAGCAGGGCACAGTGGTACTCGTGTAAGTTGAAGTATCCGACCTATCAATTATTTGAGCATTGTGCCTAGTGTATCGGGTGCCCTCTGGACGGCATAGGACTATATAAGTAGGAAGCGAAACTGGGATTATGCTATTCACTATTTTATAGAAGGTCATAAGATCGTTATAAATAAACTTCTGCATGACAGGGAGAATATTTAGCTTCTTTTGCTCTGTAGCAAGTTTATCGTCATTATAACTGGAGTAGGGTTCACCATTGATCCATTTAATAGCCCTCTTTTGGATAGCAACAAACTGTTGAAGATGAGTTGCAGATTGAGGGGACCATATGACAGAACAATGTTCAAATATAGACCTAATTAACGCTAAATAGAACGATCTTTTCTGCCTTTTATCAGTAGTGAAATGACATGTTCTCTTAAGTAGTCCAAGTCTGGAGTTAGCTCTGGAAACAAGCGCTTTACATTGTGCACCCCAATTAAACCTGGAGTTTATTGCGACTCCTAAATCTGACTGAGAGGGCACAAAGTCAATATCACTTCCAGAAAGTTTATAGAAGAAGGTATTGAATGGCAAGTTATCCAGCACGTTTCTTTGCAGGGACACAGAAAGGGCTTTGCACTTTTGTGGATGGAACTTCATTCGATTTCTCACTGACCAATCATACAATCTATTGATGTCATTTTGGATTATGTGATGGTCAGGGTAACCAAGAATCTCCCTCCAAATTTTAGTGTCATCTGCATAAAGGGCGATATTGGTGCCTTCAGAGACACAGGAGAACATGTCATTTATAAATATTACAAACAATAGAGGGCCAAGAATAGAACCTCAAACATGGTACAGAGTGTATTTTAGGTTGGAGGGGAGCCATAGGGAGTATATTAGCATCGATAGTCAAAGAAAATATATACAAAATAACATAAAAATAAAATAGACCCAATAGAGCACATAACATATGACGAGACAGAAGACAGGACAACAAATTTTCCCCGTTACCTCTATAACTTTTACTGATGATAACATACCTAGAAAACATACCAGTTGCAACACGGTGTTGTTGAGCTGATATTCCCATAAAACTTATAAGTATATTATTAACAGAATTGTGTCTCGCCGTTGTGTTTTGTTAGGTATTGTGCTATAATATGAAGTAACATACATTATGCTATCACTTCGTTTGAATACATATAAATAACATCCAAATGATCAGATCCAATAGGATACTGATGCAGACAATGAAAAATTGAATTGAATTACCACATCAGTATCCCAATGGATTAAACCACTTTGAGTGTATAATTCTGAGATAGAACTTTGCCAACACTGGCATCCCAGCCTTGGGGCTGGGATGAATATCATAAAAGCCCCTTTTGTCACACTTAGGAAATAATCTCTCGTTTCTGTTTCCAAAGCGGTCTAAGAAAGCCCAAAAAACATCAAGGTAAAACAGTTTATGCCTAGAGCAGCGATCAAAGATCAAATTATTCATAGCACAAACATTACCAGGGATTTTCTCTTGTCCGTTGGGGTGGACTGGTGGAATTGCTTGTACAAAAACACGTGCATTCGGATAAAGTTTCTTGGCTGTCTTCATAAGGTCACTCACAGGGGTCTTGAGATGATTGACACCCTGGGTACAGTACCGGATGTCGTTGGCACCGATCCATGACGACTTGCATAGAAATATGAAAAATAATAGTTATAAATATGGAATAGGAAATAAAATGCTATCATAGATCAGGGGATCATGGTATTACTGTAAAATGTTTAATCTTGCTGTTATCTTAGGAGGGGCTTGCTATTACACAATAGTCATAAAGTTTGTAGCTAGTCTATGTCTGTCTAAATTAAGGTTTTAGTAGCTTTAAACTTATTTCATTTTTGTACATTTTCGGTTGACACAAAAGATTATGATTATTTGTTATTATACTAGTTAAATAACCAAAATCCGTGTATGTCTGACATCATAATATTATATGTTCATTCTCATTTCTCAATAATAAATCCACCAGGCTAGAAATGTGAATGATTAGGAAAGGTGAATACTCAATTTGATAATGCAGAATAATGGGGCGTTTCTGTGGCCCTGTTGTCCGAATGAGGGGACTGCCATGGTCAGCAACCCCACAAGATATTAGAGAGTTTTTCAATGGTAAGAGTTTACAAAATAGTTTATTTAGGGGACTGCCATGGTCAGCAACCCCACAAGATATTAGAGAGTTTTTCAATGGTAAGAGTTTACAAAATGGTTTATGTACAATTATTTTGTCCGAATGAGGGGACTGCCATGGTCAGCAACCCCACAAGATATTAGAGAGTTTTTCAATGGTAAGAGTTCACAAAATAGTTTATGTGGTCAGCAACCCCACAAGATATTAGAGAGTTTTTCAATGGTAAGAGTTTACAAAATAGTTTATGTACAATTATTTTGATAGTAAGATATCATTTTACATTGATCAATTACTACATATTTAAATTTAAAACGTATCAAAAATATGTTTCTTAATTAATTGCACTGAAACAAAGCATTAGCAACCTTTAGAAAAACAATTACATAGGCTAAGCCTTAACAATTTACAGGATTAGAAATAAGTCAGGACGGGATTGTCCTGGCACGCAATGGGGACGGTAGAGTGACTGGTGAAGCGTACGTGCTGTTCTGTGATGAGGACAACTTCCAGAGGGCTATGACAAGAAATAGGGAACATATTGGCAAAAGGTAAGATTATAAATTTATCTCAACACTGTCGAACTATTATAGCTTCATTCTTCCCCTTAATCATTAATTATTAAGTTTATTCGAATGACCACAGAAATTAGAAACTTTTGTGTTCAAGCTTAGGAATGATATAACGAATATTTGGCCTGGAAATCATCTAGAAGTAATGATCATACTGAAATGATGCACATAATCCCAATTATTTCCACGATAGAAATTGGTTATCAAATAAGTACAGTAATATAACCGTTCTGTATGGTTAAACATAAATTGGAATATTATTATTAAGCGAATATATTAGAAAAACTATTATTCCAACTCCCAATTTATGAAAATAGAAGCTCTCAAATGTATCATGAGTCATGACCTTTTGGAATTATATTGATGATACAGTTCTAATATTGAGCTTAAGACTTTGACCTTTTAGCTGATTAAACTTCACGTGATCGTGCATATCATGTGATCTCTCGGTTGCCTAGCGACCAGAGTTTGCAGACAGCTTGTGTCTGGATCCCAGGACCAATGAGCTGGCTGTTGGTGGGACACGTGACTTGTCTCACCCAATCAGTGCTAACCACGCCCACGTGACGAACAGTTAGCATATTACAACCCACTGTAATTACATGCCGTTTCCTTGACAACACGTGGTTTGTTAATTACTTGCTCTCTCTCTCTCTTACACTCACTCCCGCCCTCATACCCTGTGTAGTATGTGTGTGCGTGTGTGTGGTATCAACCTATTTATACTCTCCTAATGCGCTAAATTGTGCACTAACAATCTGCAGTCAAATCAACTGAGCCGTGCAACATGAGCAGCAGATATTTCTAAAAACTGGGTAACCAGTAAACACATGTATCCCTCCAATCGTTTATATAATAAAATGGAACAGACCAGTAGTATAGAGACAATTACCTGACTCCATGATCTGACATGTTGTGTAGGAGTTGCGCGGCGCACTATCGCTCTATTGTAAAACCTGACTGGTCGGTTGACGTATTTATAATGCACTAGCTGGCTGGCTGGCTGTGATACAACAATACTGTGTGTCGTACGTGTGCTGTCATCTCTACAGTGTGGCTTGTAATTTTAAACGTGTTAGGACCGGTGGCTGTACCGGGAGGGAGGCGATGTTTAACTTTATCAGCTGGTGGTGGACTTGAGATGTGTTGTTAGATTTAAATTACTGCAGTAGGTTTTGAAACATCAAGGTATATTATTAAATGCGTTTTTCTATCCAATCATGCTTAGAATTGATTTGCTGAAGACAAGTGTACTGGTTTTGCTTTGAGCGGGAAAGAATTGTAAACTCTGCTGAGTTTGCCGCTTCTTTGTAACTACGTAGTGTATGTTCCAGGTGTCATAATATATGTTTATTACAATGAGATCATCCTCTTTATGAGACACAATTGACAATACGTTTGCTTTTGAAGTTTGTAAATCAAAAGAACGTTTGAGATATATTGACTATTCAGTACATTATGTTAAGTGCAAGGGAAAATGCCGCGTCAGTAATTATTTAATACTAGCCCGTCTATGTATTCCCTTGATAATAAGATGTTTTAATAATAAATTCAGGGTTATGACAATGATTTCCGGAATGCAAAATGAAATACTCAGAAATGTAAAAATGTATCTAACTTTCGATTTTGGTTTCATATTTAGTGGAGGTCTAGACTTCATCGAATTGTAACAATACCACAAGATGACTCCTTTAATAATAAGGTATTAGGGTATAATTCGAATAGTAAATTTAGGCTCATCATGATGATCAAGAATGCAAAACTAAATACTTTCGACTCTCAGCTTGATTATTAACATTCATTCTAACCGATCGCTATCTATTAGTCCCATCTGGCAATGTAACAAGTAGTACATGTTGTTTATTTGTTTGCTTAGCACGCACCACATACAACAACATGGTGTCAGGAAGTAATTAGCACTTAAAGTGTAAACAAATCACACCACTACAGCTCGTTAACCATTACACTGTGTGATAATCACACACAATACAGTGTGATTATCACACACAATACAGTGTGATAATCACACACAATCTCCTGACCCTTGGTTTACATGGGTTAATGTCGGGGGAAAGTAATCCAGTAATTCGGGGCTGTTCATTTACACTAAACGCATGTAAATAAGCCCCTTCTCCTTTGTGTATCAACATAACAATACATAGTCCAGGGTGCTTTCTCTGCTTAATATGGATGAAATTCACGAAGGTGAAATGTATAATAGGTGTAGTAAATTGTCTTCTCTGGTAAGCAGAGGGAAACGTGATGATTGTCTGTTATTCTACACAATCCGAGACTGAAGGAGCCATTTCTATACTTTATAAACTTAAACATGTATTATACCTTAAAATAAGTGGAGCCTTCGGAAGTGTTTTTAGAGATATTACCTTTCCACAATTCTAATAATATACTGACGTTACCCAACCCCATTGCTGAACAGCCATTAGCGTTACAACGTGTATTTAATATTGTCACTGCATTTAAATGGCTCCACATCACGTAATATGTGTGATCATGAATATTCTAACACGGGTTATGCACTGTTGTTATGATATGGTAGATGCTTGAGTGCCGAGTGCCGAGTGGCTAGCTTACACTATGTGTGCTTGATTTGGTTATATTCTGAGCAACTAAATGAAGGTTTAGTGAGGCTAAGATTTACAAGGCTCAAATGTACAAGATTTCACGGGAAGATCTAATAATGAGCTTAATTGTAACACGGCCCTGTTTCGCCCTACCGTTTAATCGGCTTACTTACTTTCAACTGAAAATAAGGATTAGATGATCAATATTTCATCTTTCGACCGCAACACGACTCTCTAAAATAAAGGAAATCCATCCACGAACAATGAACATGACTAATCAACTTAAGCTGGAACATAGCTAATTTGGGTCAAATTGTCGTGTTGTGCATGTTAGTTCATGGCTGCTTTCTGGTCATTTATGTGTAATTATTATAAAATCACTCTTGAATTCCGTACGTAAGTTGAAATTGACTAAAGATGCATTTCGACTAATTGTAAGGAAAAGAATAGAAAATATGTCAGTATGAAATTCTGTAGAACACAAGATGGACTTATAGTAACATAATCCATTAAAAATGTTAGCATATTTTAACTTTCGAGGCTGTTTTGGCCGCATCTTGATCATATAGTACATGCTCGTTTGCAGCTCAGAATTTTCACTAATATAATAAATCGAAAAATAATCTTTTGGATTCTAACCCCGACTTACTTCCAGGTACATAGAGCTGTTCAAGTCGTCGGGTGAGGAGATGGAATTAGCGCTGAAACGCGCAATAGCCAGCCCCGCATCACAACCCCGCCCCAAACTGAACACCACTCGGCAACGACGTAAGTTAAACCCAGTCTCACAGCTTGTTTGAAGTCCGGTACTTAACAACTATATCGGTCACGTGACCACAGTGAGCACGTGACCACAGTGAGCACGTGACCAAGGTGTGTAACCAGACGGGGTAGGTCAAGTGAAAACTGTCAACAACTTTAGTACAGAATGTCATGAGACCTGTGTTGCTGAACCGCGGGAAAAGTTATGTTGTAGGAAGTGAATGGGGCGGTATTTAAGGGACCTTGCGACATTCTTGGTTCTGGATGTAAATCGCATACTATGTCGTGATAAACAAATGTCTATTTTTAGTCCACACATTGGAATTCTTTTGTCTTCATTTTTGTGTCATTTGCCACCTGCCAATATTGATTGGCATGTTACCAACATGAGAATAATATGTAGACCAAAACATCCGCTACATCCTAACCTCAGCTTGAATTACCAATTTGAGCGTTTTATCTAGCTCACCTTTTTATAAATATTTTAACGTTACTAGAAATTATGGGACAGAATTCTTGGAATTTTGAAACAATCTGCACACCATGCCAGTCGTGATTTGAAAAGAATTGAGTATAGCTCTCTTTAAAACAGTCTATGTTTAAAACTGTAACATTGAGCTCACCAGCCAAGCCACAGTTTGGGTAGAGTGTAGTACTGCTGTTGGCAGGCACTGTAGAGCGACTGTAAGTAATCAGAATGTTCTGGAAGCCTAAATTGGCAGCAACCTGCACCAGTTGGCAGCCACTAGTTGGCAGGTACTCCAGACCTGGAATACAGAGGATTCTGGCAGCCTATAGTTTGGCAGCCGCTTGTAAGCAGCAACTTCTTGGCACGCTCTGCAGTGCAGCATGAAGCAGGATAATAATCTGGCAGCCACTCCTTACCAGGCTCACTGCTAGAACATTCTGGCAGCCACTAACAGCACTGCAAATAGAAGGTTCTAGCAGGCCGTGTGATTAGAGATCTGTGCTGGTTACACTACCCATGAAGTGAGGTCAGTAGTGACCCGGGCTACCTGTATGACTTCTGTGTCTCGTATGTGTGTGGGGGAGAGTTAGTGCCTGTGTATTGGCACTGTGCCCACTGTCCGGGAATGGAATGTTTGGAAGATGACGTCACATCAGGGTGCACATAGTTTAGAAGTCGCACAAGTTACCATATGTTGGACATGTCTTATCGGATACTCCACGATCTCAGGGGAATATGTCTAACGTGTAACTCAAACTAAAAGTGTAACCAAATGTTATACTTTTTGTTACTATATGAGTGTGTCACTGTAGCTGTGTGTGTCTGAAAAGAGTACCTCTAGACTATGGACTGTTGTAGTGTTATGTAGCCTAGACACATTTTCTTATTTCTAAGCTGGAAGTTGAGTTGTCAGACTTCAGTTCTGATTTGTGTGAGACACTGTTGAATGATGTGTCGCATTTCAGCCATGGGTCATGCACGGTCACTATAACATAATTATGCACTGCCAATAACAATTATTATAACATGTCCAAAAGTGACTGATAGACACTTTGGCAAATAACTCACTCGTTTTTGGATCCAATGGCCTCAAACGTTGTTAATCGCGGGTTATTGGTAAATCCTGATTGGGAACGTCATCGGCTGGAATCTGTTCAAAAGATACCGCCTGTTTAGCGCTGAATGTCGGGAACTACTCGAGTTGTCTTTCATAAACCGTTTATAAATTGTCAAAGTATCTTTCATAGACCGTTCATATTTATAAACTGTGGAATGTGACTCAATGCTTATCCAATGATAAGTTAAACTAGATAATTCTAAAAAAAGGCTGATTTAAATGCAGTCTTCAACTCGGGAGGCGATGCACATATATGCCCACGCTCAGACACGGACCAGGCTGACAAATTAGCCACGACAGTACTGTACGTGACATGCTTTACCTAGACCTGCCAAGTTAAATTGTTACACTCGCGTCAAGTCAAATGTGCACTCTCATTCAAGCACGCACTAAATTACCTACGCTCGCTTCATGTCAAATGTGCACTCTCATTCAAGCATGCACTAAATTATCTACACTCGCTTCATGTCAAATGTGCACTTTCTTTCAAGCATGCACTAAATTATCTACACTCGCGTCATGTCAAATGTGCACTCTCATTCAAGCATGCACTAAATTATCTACACTCGCTTCATGTCAAATGTGCACTCTCATTCAAGCACGCACTAAATTATCTACACTCGCTTCATGTCAAATGTGCACTCTCATTCAAGCATGCACTAAATTATCTACACTCGCTTCATGTCAAATGTGCACTCTCATTCAAGCATGCACTAAATTAACTACACTCGATTCAAGTCAAATGTGCACTCTCATTCAAGCATGCACTAAATTATCTAAACTCGCGTCAAGTCAAATGTGCACTCTCATTCAAGCACGCACTAAATTATCTAGACACTCGCTTCATGTCAAATGTGCACTTTCATTCAAGCATGCACTAATTTATCTACACTCGATTCATGTCAGATGTGCACTCTCATTCAAGCATGCACTAAATTAT